TTCCTTTGATTGAGCTTTTTGTTTTTAAAACAGAATCATTCTCCAGCCCCCTGCAGATCCCTACAAAGCTGAGAGCTGACAGAAGTAGGTGGGGGTGGTGAGAGGGAGAGCCAGATATTTGTGGTGCGCTTTCCCTTTTACCTCGCAGAGGAAAATGAACTCCTACAGCAAACCCTGCGATGCCAAAACAGCCACACCACATCAACTCCATCAATGCTGACAACTTGACATTTGATGTAGACGTCATTTTCACGACAAGATGGATTTAGTTTCCCTTTTTTTTTATCGTTCTTCAAATTTTCATACATGTCAATACTTACATTTAACATGCCCATGAACACACACAGATCACAGCAAAGATGACCTGCACTGTTTTCCACCAAACAAAGCCCTAAAATCTCCACCATCTCTAAAAATCGCAATGCTACTCAATTAGATGCGACTTCAATACTGCAGCCTGCAAACAGACAACAGACTACACTTTCCATTTCAAAATCTAATTTACTTCTAGCAGGACAAGGCAGGCTGATCATTTGTTGCGAAACAAAGGGAAATGCTCTAACAAATGAACTGTGTCCTGCTAGAAACAGGCACATTGTTTCAATTCCTCAGAGTCCAAATTTTGCAGGTCACATGCAGCAGCAAGCTTCCCACAAGGCCAAGTCTGTAATGTTTAAAATTCTACTCTTAATTGCATTTTTCCAATCACAGCTTCATGCAGTTAACACAGCCTCAACCTCAAAGTAGTGTTAAAAGAATAGCCGTCTGTATTATCTCAGTAAGTATTAATAGCTGAGGAAAATACAAACAATAAGTGGACCTACCAGAAGTTGCCATGAGCTCCTTGGTAAGAAGCGACCCGTAGTGAAATACAGAGTTCTCTTTGGGTGTCCCCACTGAGGAAAGGGGAGGGTATATTTTAACACTCAGTACCTAACCTGTTACCTTGACACATTCAGCTTCGATGTCTTAGCACGTATTTTGAGCAACTGACACTTCCTGGATGGCAACTTGTGTTGTTGCAATCAGTTTCTAACCCACATTACCTAATACATCTGCTGGTGCTGATTTCTCCCAGCTGCCCTCCAGTCTCTCTGTGCTATACAGAACTAAACTGCCCATATAGCGGCGTAAGGAAGCTCTACCTACAAGTCAGCAGAGGAAAACTAATAAAAAAAAAATAAAGGGCTGCAGAAATACACATTTTGTATACGTGAGACATCTTATTGAGTTCAGCAACAACATTTAGAAAGACTGAATTAACAGCCTTCACAACACAGCCAGAGTAAGAACAGCAAGGAGGAACACTCAGTGGATGAGATTTAAACTACCCTAACACAATGCAATAGCATCTGCTATAATCACAAGATCCTGGGAGCAGGTCACCCACAAAAAATGTCTTTCTATACCACTGCTCATGCAACTTCACTAAACAAAACAATGAGCTACAATGAGACATTCTGGATTTGGCTGCTGGCAAGAACACAAATGAGAAATGCTTCAGTAGCCTGGAAATATAGGCTACCACTAACATGGCCCATACGGCTTAAATAAACTGAAGCAGGGCTTCCGTATGAAAAATTATTTAGACATTGTTTGGGGGCAGTATATATATTATTGTGAAAAGAGATTAATATTGTCTCTACAGAAGAATAGAAGTTTTGAATACAGGTGGGAGAAAGAGATTCATTGAAAAAACTGCAGATGGGAAAGAGTACCACATTAGGGCTGACCTGCTCGATGTAAAGATCACAGCAGTTCCAGCAAAAACCAGACAGGCAATCCTGCCCAGATGTGGACCAGCATACGCTTAGACATTGCTCCTTCATCAGTTCCCTGCCCATTCAAGAACTGCACACAATCAAGAAGATGAAAGAACAGAGCTGATATGTAACACTGACCAGCCTAGAAATTCTTGCTTTAGATTTCCTCTTTATTGGTTTTCTTTTCTTTTTACAGTGCTGTGTTACCTTCTTGCCACTAATTAGAAGTCAATCAATGTATGTATTTCTATGTTGGAAGGCAGCCTCATCAGCTAGGACATTTCTAGAACATACATTCTGATATGCTCAACATAATAAATATCACTAATCCTCATTTCTTTTAAATACTGTTTATAATTGTATTATTTTTCCGCTTAACTTTATTCTTTTATCTTTGGATCACCGTTAAGGACTACTGTTTTACTTCTTTTTTTAAATTTGGTTTAGAACAGAAGTCTCTTACTTCACCAGCACTTGTTGCACAGTCCCTATTGCAAAGAAAAAGTACATTTGTTATTGATATCCAAAACTGCAACGAATAATGAAATGCTCATTCTGACACAAGGTAAGCAAAAAGTTAAACACTTCAGAATCCTCCTGATGATAAATCAAGTATTTCCTCTACAACCTACTAATTTGCCATGTTGTTCCAAACCAGCAAACACAGTTCTTGAAGGACTTAACAAGACTGTCTATGTGATTATTCTGCTTCTCTCAGCGTTGGGGAGGTCTTAAATAGCAGGACTACAGTTCTGGACATCATATTTTAGAAGGAGTTGGATAAAATGAACAAATTAACAGATTTAAGTTAACAATTTAAGTGAAAGAACATGATATTATTATTATTATTGTTTAATCTACCAGAGGGGAACCATCCTCACATGTGCAAAAGGCCGACATGAGAAGGAAACAAATAACACCAACCTCAGCTCCTGTGGAAGAAGTAGGAAACCTACTGCCAAAGGCTTCTTAGAGACAAATTCTGTCAGGTTTGTTGTAGATGAACTTCATCTTCCCTGAGACAGGGGGGACCACCAGCCAGATTACCTGCACCACTCCCTTTCCCGCTTGCCTTTCTTCACATCAGTGAGCTGTTCAACTGCCTCAGGGGAGAGAGGAAATTTGAGGGAATACTGGCAAGTTTACCGACCCTGGATCTAACAAGAAATGATTTGTAGACTCTAAAGGCCTTTGAGGAGAAGGCCAGGACACAGTGCTACTTCTGCTGCAACTACAGCCCGATTACCACTGGCATAGAGGTTTGCTGAAAAATGAATCAATCAATGAGGCTTTAGGAGCTCAAATTGACTACTTGGACTCCAAGAAGGAACTCACAGGGTGTCCCCATCATCCCCCAGCCATCTACAATGCATCCACACGCTCATCAGCAGTCACCACAAGCACTGCATGAGGCTGCAGAGACTTTGGGGTCTGGGCTTACAGTGCTGACTACATTACCACCAACAAATAAGGAAATAAATGTTCATACGCAATGCAATTACGTTCTCTTGCCTGTAATGTCACCCTGGAACAAGCTTGTCCCAAGATTTCCAAAATAAGTGCCCCAGCTGCTGCTTGTTACCAAAGCAATGCTCAGTCCTTCACTCCATCTGCTACTACAGAGGTTTTCGGAGCTCCTTTTGGCCCAACAGTTGTGCTGAAGTGGTTTCTTAATGGAGGAGCTGCACAGTATCTAAGTCAGAAAATCCCTCCTTTTGTACTTTAAAGATATGCTCACAGCTTAGCATCCACAAATTATAAGGCATATTTTTTAACAAGTCAACAGCCAAGGCCAGACTAAGTTCATGGAGAAATACACACGACATTTCGATCTGGACCTGTCACCCAAGCCTACAGCCAGTCCTGGGGCTTCAGCAAGACTTCCATTCCAAAAACCAAACCAAAAGCAAAATACAATGAAATAATATATACACATATGTAGGTCAATACTATTTCAAAATGTTTGAAATCACAGCAAAAGTGCAAAAATATGTTAAGTTGGAGGTTAGAGGCAAGAGAAAGAAGGGAATATATCCAACACCTAACAAGCTTCTATTATGAATTCACTCTAGTGATCACATTTAATATTGCATATATTTAATACAAAAACTACAGATACATACTGCTTGTAATCTCTATTATTAATAACAACATAATTGACACAGATATTCATAACCCAGTCACAGCTAGAACTCAAACAGATTTTCGAGATCTGTCATTATTGGCAGCACCACGCCATTGGAAAGCAGTGCCAGATACCTCATTCCATACACAAGTTTCTCCATTAGACACTGACCATAGCATGGACCTATTGATCTGTGGCAAGCAATTGTCAACCCTAGCTGGAAGGAAATGGGTTAGGGAGCATGTGACAAATTGTCTTCTTCCTAATAAATGCAATGCTTGTTTCTGCTATCCTTGCATTAAGTAAAGCGTCTCCAAAAGCAGAATTTTAATCTTTTTAAAAGTAAATGTTGACGTAACACAGTACCCTGATGTATGACAGGAAATCATCACAGTAACAGCACTTCTATTGTACTTGTAGACCAGACACATTACTGGAAAAGTTATCCTCCATCCAGAAAGCTGAACTGTGGTTTAAAAATAGTTGCAGAAGATGCAAAAACAAAATCAAAACTTGATTTCAGTGTCCATCACAGAGGGTAACGTACTAAGAGAGGAATTCTGGTGATAAACTCTATCACTCTGAGATATTTATACACCAAAAGATACACTAAAGCTATTTTAAATATATATCCACAAAAGCTCACTGACCTTCCAAACGGTGCTGATATCAACACTAATAAAATATATTCAGTTCATAGAAATGATGACTAGAAAGATTACAACTTTCTTAATAGTCTCAATACTATATGAAGACTACACACACACAAAGCACAGAACGTTTTTTAGAAACTTGGGAAACATTTTTAATCACTTCCAATATTATGCTTTCTTTTTCAGAAGCCGCACACAATCCATACAATTGCAACCTCATACCTGCAGCACAAACTCCTCCACTTCCCTCCACATGACTACAACTTTCCAGATTTAGAAACCTGAAGAAAGCGTATTATATAGCACTGCTGGTTCAGAGAAAAACAGCATTTACTTCCTCTGTCTCATCCCCCCAGAGATCAAACAGCAGACCAAGTTCCTGAACACACTGACTTCTGAGGTAACAGACATATTCCACATACATACGTTCACTGATCCACACGAAGAGCAAGTACTCACAGCTAAAGATGCCTGGAGGTGGATGCTCTGTTACAAGCAGACAGTTCTCTTCATCACTGTTATCCCCACAGTCATTCTGTTGGTTACAAATCAATGAACCAAGATACAAGCATTTACCACTGGCGCAGGTGAATTTGCACTCTGAAAGGCAAAAAGGAAAGCAAATCAAAAATTGGTGAGGAAATCAGTGCTTACCTTCTTCACTAGCTAGAATAACTGATATTAAAAGCAACTGATATTTTTAAGTAGATGCCATCATGGTGGATAGGTCTTTCACACTTCATCACCCAAGTAAATAATGTAGTATTTGTAAGCACTGCAAGCATAAATTATATCTGACTGATGTGTGATAGACTTCAGATCACTAGAATCAATCTACTAATAAACCAGATTTCCCTTTTGGGAAAACTCAACTTCTTAAAAAACAGGCAATACTTTTTCTAGTTCACGCTTGATCACAATTAGTTCACTTAGGACAAAGACTGTATTTTCAGATATGTTTGTGTAGCACCTTGCATATTTGGGGCAAGACAGCACTATGAATAAATATAATCATTATCCCACATTTAAAAAAAATAAATAAATAAATCTTGTGCAATATAGAACAGCACCAGCTGTAAGGCAGTAGTGTAGTTTGTAACAAGCAACAATCCTGTCCAGACACAGACAATTATTCCTTAACTACCTTCCCAAAGCCAATCTGCCAGTCTCCCAACTAATTACAATCACGCACTCAATGTCTGCACATTGAACTCCCACACGCCAGTTTGCTTTACAAAGTCAGTAAACTTCTGAAACCTCTATACTGTGTCTGGATGCTATACACAGGCATGCGGTACATTCTACATTTTGTTCATTAAAAAGAAATTAATAATTTCCACTAAATGTGGTTTAGGCATGAGAAAAAACTCCTCTGAGACCAGGTATTTAAACAAAAACATGGTTAACTTAGGCTCCTTCTAACTTCTCTCCCTTTCTCCTTTTGTGCAAAAATAATTAACTAATCCTGTGTAAGATACCACACTGGACTTATCTCCATCTCTTCAAAAAACAACGTGAAGGAAAGACTCCTTACATCGGGTCCCACTCAAATTTTACACCAACAGGAGAGGTACCCACTTCTGTATGACCTTGGTGGACAACCTCCACCCTTGGCCTTCTGTTCACTGATAAAGATTCAGTAAGTGCTAACCGATGGTAGCTCTTTATAGGAATTACAGCCTAGTGCCTAGTCATCTAGGATGTTTTTCTTTAATTTTCAGAGCCCAGTCAGTCATAGTTTCAGTCTGACTTACTTGTCCTCTATCTGAAATGGTAATATCTCAGTATTTAAATATGGCATTATATACCAGGAGTATCTGCTTGGTCAATAATTAAAATTCCATTGCCCTTCAGCTAAACTGATCATTTAAATGTCACCTCTAGAAACAAAGCTTAATAGTAAGCATTTGAAATATAATCAAGACATATTCCCAGAAATATAAACACTATTATAAAAAGCTTTTTCACTCGGCTTGTTCCAAAGATAAATACACTACACACAGAATAGGAGACATATTCTATCTAGACAAATTATAATTTAATGATTACACTTCCAGCATACTGAAAAATTCTGGCGATTCTCATTCAGAAGCAATGGCAAAGTAGCTGGAACTAAAACCAAGAAATACAAGTATTTTATTTAAAGTAGTGCCATTCTCTGAAACTTGGGCTTCCCTAGGGCTGCAGTTTGGGTTGGCTGTTTCTAAGAGAGGTGATCGCTTATACTTCCCAGCAAAGAGATAGCATTTGTTCATCTTCAATAGTATCAGCAAGAGATTTCCCATTAATCTTAACAGCACAAGGACTGGACTTGCTCTGAACTGAGACAACAGGAGCTATCATGCTAAAAAAAACCTAGAACGGTTATTGAGGCATGACTTGTACCCACATGTATTTGACATGCAACATAAGCACAGTAATTGTGAAGGGGAGGAAAATAAATTGGAAACGGGAATGGAATATTTTTTTGTAGCATATTTGCCTTTTAGGTAAGAGTGATTTGCAGACTTCACTCGGAAAACTTTTCATCACAAGTATTCATGATATCTTGCTACACACACCCACAAGGAGCTTCTGCGGTAAAATATATGCATCAAGATGTACAACACATAAAATGCTACTTAATATAAATAAAAGCCATAAAATGCTACGTAAGAAAAACAAGCATTTCCCGTGCATTTAAAATGTATCTTTCCATCACAGTTGGTCAAACTGCACTTCAAAATCATTAAAGTATTTGCCTAATAACTCTTCAAAATTTACAAACTATTCAGAATAAATTGCACAATCAAATATTGTACAAGCAAAATATTTTCCCTGTCACCTTCTCCTCTTCTGCAGTAACTAAGAACTGAAGAGCCATTTAAGGGCTTGACCGAGGAGAGCAAGCCTTTGAAACCCAAGGAACTATGAAGTTTATTAACAGTTACTTTTGCAAAGAAGACTTAAAAGATCGGTCTCAATCTGATAATTAGAGCACACAGCACTAATTTTTTTGGCAAGTTCAGAAAGTAAGAAACTGGAACAAGAAAAGCATAAAGCTGCTTTAGAAGATAAGAAAAGTTGGCTTGAAAAGGTTCAAACTTTGCAGATATTTTAAATAACAAATGACAGAGTAAAACTTTATAAAGTTACCATAAAATCCTGCGATGTTCTGAAAATTACAGCAGTAAAGAACACGCTGCTTCTATTTGAAAGAGAAATATCAAGCACCATATTGCTTGAAGCTAGAACACGTGGCATGTTACTTTGGCCACAATTTTTTAATTCTTTCCCATGTCTTCACATCGAGTCCTAATGTAAAGCTTTCCACATTTCCCCCATGACTGATATAAAATGCTCAAGCATTTTATAACGTAAGATGTCAACTCAGAAGCAATTAAAGCTAAGAACTTTGGGTTTCTAGTTGCCACCAGATTACACGGTGTTCAGACAAAAGACCAAATGAAGCAGTAAATTTTTAGTAGCTCTATTAAAGTCTTAAAATGCAGTGTTTTAACTAACATTACTATAAGAAGACCAACCAGAGGAAAGAATTTGTGATTCGAGCTTTTATTTTTTTTCTGTCCCAGATCACAGACTGCACTGAAAACTGGATTCAAAAACAGACTGAACATCTATTTTTCTTGCAAAATTTTACAGCTAGATGCTCCTTCCCTCAGACACATGAACATTGCCATTACCAAGGTGAAGAAAAAAAGAAAAAAAGACTCATCAGACCTCTTGTCCCCCTGCAGCGACTGGATAGTTGCTCCCTATGCCACAGGAATTCTCAGTTGATTGTAAAATGCTCAATCTCCAAATGACCTCGCATTGTTATCTCACTCCAAATCTATCTGCCAAGAAAGCCGTGCTATCGTGCTGTACTGGGCCTGACTGGGATGGACTTAACTTTCTTCACAGCAGCCCCTGCGGTGCTGTTTTTTGTATCTGTGATCAAAACAGAGTTGATAACACACCAGCATTTTGGCTATTGCTGAGCAGTGCTTCCACAGCCTCAAAACTTTATCTTTTTCCCTCTTTCCTTCACTTACAAATTTTTTTTATTTTTTTTTTTTTTTTTTTACTTTTACTCTTCCTGGTCTCCCCCTTTTCTTGCAGCAGAATGGGACAGGGACTGGGGGGGCTGTGCAGTGCTTAGCAGGACCAACCCACAACACACACCTAATTCAAAAGCAACTCAATTGTTACAACTCCCAGCTTCAAAACCAATCACCTCTGAGAACAAAAAGCAGCTAAACCCAAGAGAGTGACAGTTTTTGACAATGTCTGTGTTGCATGGAGGCTCTGAAGAGAGGAGTTTTCCCGAAAGTGGAACTGAGACCAGACCCCAGGGGTTGCTGCTCAGTCTTGAAAAATACAAAATACAAATATCTCCGGAGGAGCCCAGTGTGCCTGTCTGTAGAAGCTTGGTCAAGAGAAAAGCTCCATTCCCAAAGAAGCCAGACAAGAAGACTGTGATGGAACATCTTAGAAATGGGAAAAGCCAAAATAGGTACACGAGACCCTGCTGAAGCCCAGAAGCAGTTGTAAGGAGCAGTCCCTCTCCCATGTTCTCTCTCACCATGGCAGTTAGTTGACATTACACATAGGACAACACAAGACAGCACTGTCCAATTTCTAAGTCTAAAACCATCCAACGAAACCTTTGTAAGCATCTGAAGGAATGTACAGACTTCTCTGTACAGTTATGGTTCCTTTAAATTGAATTAGGAAAAGGACTGTTGACACAAATACCGATGTTAATGGCAATGTAGACTTCATATGCCACCTAGCAAAACTTAATACCTAATGGAGGACTCAGCAGTACAAACCTTAACCTGCGTAACTGTGTTCTTCTAAAGTCTGAAAGAAATACACAAAGGAAAAAGCACTATAGAAATGGAATAAATGAATTAAGCATATTATTCAGTGAAAAATACAGACACTTACAAACAGGGAACATAGCTAACATTAGGTATTTGTGACTTGTAAACTCAAATTCAATGCCTTAAAGTAGTTTGCATAGTAAATGTGTTCAAACAATGTGTGCTTTTCCTAAAACCGGAATGAACCCTTTCTTCTAAATCAAGGTAGGTCAAAGTCAGCGTGATGCAGATAGTAGAAAGCAAATACTAAGAGTATTGTCAAAGTGGATGTTAGTAAATAAACCTGCAGAGCTCTGTCCCAAAATACCAGGAATGACCTCCAAACGCTGTCAGGGAAATCCAGACCAGTACAGACTAGACTGATGTGCCTAATGAGACACCAGAGACCTCTTATCAATACAAAGTCGTGTACTTGGCTTGTCTAGACAAGAGGAGGGGGAAGAGCTCCAGCTCTGAAAACAAGCCAGCATGATCACTCTTTCATAAATAACATTTCAAAGCTAGGCAGTTTTCCTCTTCATTTTCAAGTGGCAATTACTGAAACATCAGTCGGTTGGTCAGCAAGGCTCTGACTACAGCTAAACCTGAAGCAGATGACAGCTACTGGAAGCTGAAAAACACAGCCCTCCTCATAATTATGGCTTACTGCATTTATAATTGTGTCTGCAGCATAATTTTAAAGTGCATCTTGCCAATGTACTGATTCTTCAAAATAAAGTTTTAATAAACATA